GAAAAAAAAAGGGGGGGGGGGGAAAAAAGAGCAAAACAAACAAATACGACTACAACAAATACTTTCTTCAATAAACCAAACAATCCCTCAAAGAGAGGTTCATTGAGACAAACAAATGCCACTTTTTCCAAGGTTTTAATACCTTGCCAACGACTTAAAATTAATTGGACTGGCGTATTTCCGTGAGCCTCCAAAAAAAAACTTTGCTGTATACTTAGAAGTGGCTTGAGTGGGATGAAATTGATCCCAAAAAAGATATTGGCTGCGGTTTGAGCACAGATTAGATTTTAGTGAGCAAGAGATTGCACCATTGAATTTGCCGGATCCACAACAGGCACTGTTAACGTCCTTGTACCCTAACACAACAAAAGTGGAAGTAATTAGAAAAACAAACAAACAAACAAACAAGAGATTTACGTTTATGTAGGGGTTGGCATTAATCGGGTGAATCGATACTGAATTTTGACGATTTATTTCGATTTAAGAATATATTCCATTCGGTTCGGTTTTAGAATATTTCAAGCTAAATGAAGCGTAACTATTAATAGAAAGTCGCGATAGATGGAGTGGTCTCTCCTCTGCTTTTCTGAGGGGTGGAGTCAGAATCACATTAAAATGCTTTGGATATAAATCTTACCAAATAAGTGTGGTTTATCTAGAGCAGTAGACATCAAGTCATAGGCATTTCCATACGAGTACTTCATCCCTTTTAGCATAGACTCGAGTCGACGCATCCGAGCTCTGGCTGCTGTGTTGAAAATCCTAGCCAGACCGTTCAAATCCTCAAAGCATCTCCCCGTAGGGTTTCGGCTCTTCAACGATGGAATACACCCAAGATGCGAAAGTCCCAGTATCCCGAACTTTCGTGCTCCGTGTTCGTACAGTACCTACAAAAGAAAATACAGTATGTAAATTGAAAACGTACGTAGAAATGATGAAGTGTGTCTAACTAAGGCCTAAAAAGGCTGCAAACCTTGAGGCGTTCACTTAATTTTTCAACAAGAGAGGTAACGAACTGTTCATTTTGTGTAGTATTTTGAGCCCCTGATGCTAAGTAGTAAGCAAACATATCGTTGCTCCCGGCGCTAATGAGGAAGAGGGATTTTGAGATGAGGTAATTTGCTCTCTTTTCCCCCATTTTTTCCGATAGATCGCCGATGGCGCCCCTGAAATTTTCAATCTGAGTCGTGAAGGTTATAGCCGTGCCCTGTCGCGGTCGTAGAACCAGAAGCAGATCAGATGATTATATCGAAAATGGGCTTTATGCAATACAATTTAGCGTTTAATTTTTTATCACAAATATTAATTAAGACCGTGATTAGAGTATCCACAGTGAAATGTGAATGGCCATGTATAAATATAATCGTATAACCGTGATTAATTAAGAACGTTTAATTTTTTTATCACAAATATTAGTTTATATGAAGAATATATGCTCAAATTGTGCTAGAGTTACTCACAGTGGTATCAAGAATTCCTGAACCTCCAGAGGCAAAATTTACTCCGTGTAACATACTTGCTCCCTTTGTGACGGAGAGGAACGATGGTGGGCTTCGCTTGTACCCTACATGCTTGGCTAATATACGTGACAAATTAAACAAAATCATTAATTACCAGAGTACAAGACAAATCAAGGCCTCTTTATTATTATTATTAATTATCATTAATAATTTGTTCATACGAACAATAAGTTCTATTGAATGCCAAAGTGTAGCATTATTTACGAACCCCAACTCTGACCATCGGAAGGGGAACAAACTTTGGCTACCAGCACAATTAAGACGTTAAAGTGGCTCCTACACACGAATCGCAATGTAAACATTTACTACTAGAATCAAGATCAAATCAAAGTAGCTAACCCCCTCCCCCCCCCCCCCCCAAAAAAAAAATAAATAAATAAAATAAAAAAAAAATAAAAAAAAAATAAAAAAAATAAAAAAGAAGGAAAAGAAAGAAAGAAGAAGGAAGACTATGCTTATATTGGTAAACACTGGATACATTCCAAACTTCTTTCACCAAGCTATATTGCTCAAGGAGGATGCCATCGTCAAAAAATTAGCATTTTAGAGTAGACTATACTAAACCCTCAAGAACTTTCAGCGTTTTGCATTAACCCCATGAAAACTTCTAAAATTGCACTAAATCCTCAATAACTATTGAAATTGCTAATTAAACCCCTAATAAGTTTCAGTTTTTGCGAGTAATCCCCATGGCGACGCCAGCCCACATTTTCAAAATATAAATGCAATGAGAAATCTTTGGGGGCAAATGAAAAAAATGCTAAAGTTCGGGAGAGGGCATATATACATACAAAACTCATAAATTATTTTACAAAATATATATCGCATACGTACCTAGCCAATCAATAGTATTATATCCATTGCTGAACCTCCCCGTTGGAGTCTTGAAGGGGAAATCAATGCCATAAGGAGGAAAGTTTGCCGTTGACGTCAACGAAACATTCAAGTTATTATTATTCCCGACGTCGGCCAAGGAATCTCCAAGCACGAAAATTGCAGGGGCGTTTTTGAAAGATTCCCCTACTGAACTCAGTGCTAATGCGAGAAAGGAGAAGATCAAGAACAAAGAAGAGAGCTCCATTTTGTTTTAGGTGCTTGAAGCTTCCCTTAATGTGATTGCCTGAGTATGATCATCCTTTAATCGATGCAAGGTTTTATAGAGTTGTGAACTCTATAAATAATCTACACCTTGGATTTCACACGTTGATATAAATAATATGAGGATTAGGTGGTGCTTAACTGTAGTGTGGAAGAAAACATATTGAGGAATTATTTTAGTATATCAAGGATTAGTTATGGCCCTTAGCATAATCTTTGACTACAAGTGACAACAGGGTGTGTGATTGGTAGGTGTGAAACGAATTTAAAATTGCTCAATTATGTATAACAGTATAAGCCTATCTGTAGATGACCCATTTAATAATTCACCCGCAAATGGGTCTGGATTCGCTACTATCTTGATTATAGAGAATATCTACAAATAGTTAGGTGTGCTTATACTATTGACTAGGGCTGTGCAAACGATCGGTCGGTTTGGTTTTTATCAAATTTGAACAATCGAACCAAACCACCAATTATTCAAAACCGAACCGAACTGTTGCAAGTCGGTTCAGTGTGGTTCGGTTCGGTTTGTTTGGTTCATTCTAAATTCAAGAATAGGTTTGTGACAAACATCAAACTTCATCAGCATTACTTTATACGTTTATGAATACAAGACTTTAAATCTTGTTCAGTGCTCTCCAGAATGCAACTGAAGCTATAGCCGTAATTTAATGTGCAAAACACAATTGCAGTCGCCCTTGACAGACTCTAAGTAGATCTTTACCATATCGACATGCTATATTCAGTCAATGCTCGATACAAGATCTTCAGATTTAACCATTTATCATTTACGTACAACATCCAGTCTACCATCTACAATTCGACACTGTTGCTTCACCAAAATATTCGGATCGATTTCTTCGAAGGTCCTGACCATGGCGTATCATCTAACATAGATTCAAATTACTCATACTCGATACAAGGAGAAACAAAGAACTGCAGCAGATCAGATGATCACCACAAACACACCCATTTTTTTTTGTTTTCCCCTATTAGAGGACTTTGTTGTCTGTGATTAGCATCACTTGCAATGAAACAACCTTGAACATTTTGACTTGAAGGAAAATTCATGGCCATGGACTTCACAGTTTGATGTTGTAGCAAAAACTTATCCAGTAATCAAATTTCAAACACAAGCAGCTCAACATAACTCTCTTCCCAATCCCATGACATGAAGCTCTCAATCAAACAATTTAGGTTGCATTTTATAACCTCTGAAGTAAACTCTCCACTTTAAGATTTTGCACTCTAATATCTTGATCCCTTGTGGAACACCCAAAAGCATCAGATACAATGTTAAATGACAAAGGGAGTAAACAATTTAGAATGCAATAAATAGTAAATACTCATTTGTGACAAACATTGACAACAGAGAAATTTATTGGGAGTGCGGAGAGTGGAACGCACTCCGAAGCACGGATTGTGGAGTGCCGATTGCCCTGCGCCTGCACTGCGGCCCTACGCCGGTGCGGGTGCGCTGCGGAGTGCAAAGAGAGAGAGTGAGGGAGTGCGGAGTGCTACCGACTGTCGAGTGTGGAACTGCGGATTTGAGGAAGTGCGGCTGGGCAGAACTACAGATTTGAGGAAGTGCGACAGATAGCTGCGGGCTTGGAGACTTGGAGATTTGGAGTTAGGATTTAAGTATCTCAATTTGAGGGATTTTAGTGAACAGGTCGGGTATGGATACGGATTAAAAATTATAGTATTAAATGATGTGGTCGGTTCGGGTTGAAAAATGTCACAGTTCTGCTGGATAAGTTTGTGCAATGTGCTATACAAAATTATTTCAAAAGTGCTATCAAATTGGCTAAAATGCATCTTTTTCCTAATGTCATTTCCTTTGATCAGAGTGCTTTTGTTCTCGGTAATTTGATCACGGATAGTATCATGACGGTTCATGAACTTTGCATGAAGAGAAATGGGCAAACAGGCTCGATGGCAATAAAATTGGACGTTAGCAAAATCTAGGATAGTGTTGCATGGGATTTTCTAGAAGCTATGATGAGAAATTTGGATTTTGTAGAGAGTTGGATTATTTTAGTCATGAAACGTGTGCCGTTAATTTCCCATTCCATTGTCATAAATGGGGTGCAACACGGCGAAATTCGTCCATCACGTAGCGTCGTAGCCTGAGACAAGGAGATCCAATTTCACCCTATCCTTTTCTCATTGTGGGGTTGTCTTGTTTATTATTTGATGCAGAGCGAAAGGGTTTAATTCAAAGAGTGAAAGCTAGTAGAGGAGGTTCAAGTATTAATCACTTATTCTTTGAAGATGACAGCATTGTCTTCACCACGACTGATCATTTAATGCGGTTGCTATTTCAATTACATTAGTGAAGTATGAAAGTTGTTTAGGTCAAAGTGTCAATTTTTAGTTAGTCTGCCATCTCTTTTAGTTTGAGTACTAATTAATCATGACGCTAGGCAACATATAAAAAATATTCTTGGTGTTATTGAGGTTGTTGTTAGTAAAATAAAGATGGAGACAGAATTTCTTAGTCGTGAAACACTTTTCTTGAAGAAATATTTGCCCCACTTGATAATTTAAGTTTGCTTTAGGTTAATGCAAATTTTCTTCCCATATAATACAATAGAAAATTAAAAATTCCAGCAAGAAAATCTGAAACTTTTCACTAATTCTCTATGAAACAAGTTTATAAGATTGCAGATTTTTAAGAGAAAAGTATTGAGAAAGAAGTAAGTACTGATGTCTGAAATCATAAACTATTTATAGGTTTGAAAATGTGTTTTGAACAGTCATAAATTTTTAAAATACCCCTTGGAAAAAACAATCATTTTCTAACAATCAAAAATAGTCATTTTCAACAGACACTTGTCTGTTGATATTTTAATAAATTTAAAAAATTAAAATAACAATAACAATAATAAATAAATAATATATTAATATATATATTATAGTAAAAAGTTAGAATATTTGAGCGGCGGCAGCAAAAGTGCTAAGTGCGTCTAATAATCGCGTCAAAATCACGCATTATTCGCGTTACCCGCACGCGGGTTTAGAAGTCTATGTTTTGACCCATATATCAAGGTCCAATAATCAATAAATATTTTTAAACATTTAAAAGAATGCTCAAATATCCGATATGAGACTATTTTATTTTTACAAATAAATACTAACAGTGGCTAAACATGAAAAGTATCTTACTTTGTCTACCAAGATTGGTAGAAGCAAATAAAAATGCATTTTCTTTTATTGTTGGCAGAGCTTGGAAAAAATTGTAAAGTTGGAGAGAGAAATTATTGTCAAAGGCGGCAAAGAAATTCTCATTAAAGTAGTTATAATACTTTATTGGTGCAGTCAATCGGGAATTATTTATTGGGTGTGTTTCTTGTGCCTTATTCTCTAGTGAGTCCCTAAATTCACTTATGGTGAAATTTTGGTGGGGTAATCCTAAGAATGAAAGGAAGATCCATTGGTGTAGATGAGAAAAATTGTGTATTATAGGCGTTAAAAATTACCTATAGGTTCTCGCATGCAGCTCGAGACAAAGTGAAAACGATAAACGTCACCATCTAAGTCAAATGTGACTATCTGGTGCCGTAAAGAAGCAACGAAACACATGAAGCGAGTTGGTGAAGCATACGAATCAGCAAAACACGTGAAACGACGTCTCATTGGTAAAAAAATACCAAACCGGAAACTCAGCCAAGTGTCGACCACTTCAAAGTGGCTCAGCCAAGGCCGAGCCACCTTGGGGTGGCTCGCACATTGCGATCCGGAAGTTCCCGAAATGTGTTTGTTGATGATTTTTTAGGATTTGATCATTCCACTGCCTCCTAACTGCTTTAATATTATCCCTAAACATGGTTAGGTCATTATTGACTAAAGATAATACCAAATCACTTGTTTCTATCCTAAAACGCTGCATTCAAAGCCTATAAATACAAGCCTAGGGCCTCTATACACGGGTAATCTGAAATTTGAGCAAAGAGGGCGAGGTGGTGTCAGTTTAGAGAGTGAATTCCATGAATTTTAGAGAGGCTAGCGAGATCTTGGCAAGTTCTTCAGCATAAAGAGGAAGAGGTCGAGAGATCTGAGGTCCGTTCCACCATTCCTTAAGATCAGACTTTGTTTTGATCTCGAGAAGAGTAGTAATCTCACTTTGTTGAGATTATTTACTTCTGCGATTGACTTTGTTTTGATCTCGAGAAGAGTAGTAATCTCACTTTGTTGAGATTATTTACTTCTGCGATTGTTTCCTTTGTGAAGCAAGAAGAAGAGTAGTAATCTCACTTTGTTGAGATTATTTACTTCTGCGATTGTTTCCTTTGTGAAGCAAGAGCTCTGAACTTTCATTCTATCAACTGAATCTGATCCGCGACGGTACCACAGATACTAACATCCCCGGCACATGCAAAGATCCCACACAAGTAGCGGGTGATAAATGTCCTCTGCGTGTGTTTCTAGAGAGTTGTATTTTTTTGTTTTATTTGTGTAAGAAAAGTCTTATAAAAAGGCTCCTTCTTTTTTGAACATTTTGTAATTGATAAACGTTGTAATGAGTTCCCAAATAAAACCAACTTTTGACGCAAACATGTATTCCAATGGGGCG